TATCTACGGTATCCTCATCATTCACCTGTAACACGACATTTCGAACACTTCTAACCTTTTCTTATCGATAACGCCCACCTCCCATGTTTCGCACCCGCACAGCGCCGCGTTCCAAACATACGCCTATACGAGAATCTTTTTCGAATTTCTAAATTGACCTTTCCCGAGCATAGAAATTACTTCTTTTTATTGTTGTCCCTGCGCTATCCTCTGCTTTATATCCCTACTACTCCTTTCATCCTGACTTATCTGACTTCCTAGATACTTAAAATCAGCCACTTCTAATCTTTTGTCTCCTATCTTTATGTTCACTCTTTCCCTACTTTTTCTTTTCTTGCATACCAGTAATTTCGTTTTACTTTTATTTATTTTCATATAATACTGTTTTGTCAATACCGCTTCCATTTCATTTAAAGCTATCTCTAACTCCTCCTCTTGCTAGATTTAATACTGTTATATCATCTGCAAATCTAACAATAAGCATACTATTCTTTTGTATATCTATTCCTACAGTTGTATTGTCTTTAATGATGTTTAATATGATTGAAAATAATTAATTAAGTAAAAACAATCAATATTTAATAAAAATGTTTACCAAACATTCAAGGATAATAGTAAATGTAATATAAAAATATATAAAGCCGTATTTTTATGTAATATATTCTGATAAATAAATCCTGCAGTAAAGATGCAAGTAGAAACTTCTTACAAAGCGTGACTTAATTTACAACATTCTCAATTGTTAGAAACGTAGCAGGCATTATACTTGTAAGAATAATTTATAGGTGTATGTATGTGTGTGTAGAATTAATTACACAATTACCTAACATGACATTAAATGATGAATTTTATACTTACTCTACTTAGGTATAGAAACAGTTGAAGCATATTTGTCGGTAAAAAATTCTTGTAATTCAGTGTATTTGAAAACGTTTATAAAAGCTTTGTAATTTACATACAATGTCTAGATTATTAGTATAATAGCAAATTTATAATGAAGAATAAAATTAAACGAACATTTAAGAGTTGAAAGTACCTATTAAAAATGGTATTTATGTAATAAAGTATTAAAGCTAATGTTACTAATTATATTATAAATAAAACAATTAGTTGAGGGTTATTTAAAGTCTGAATATTTTTTGGTAGTTATTTATCAATTAATAAGTTATTAATTTCTTTCAGGTAGACATTTCAGATCGTTTAAATATTTTGTGTTAAGCTTTCTATAACAAAGTTTGAAGGACCGAATTCTTTTTATTCGTTATATAGAGTTAAAAGAACGATCGTTTTGATACTTGACACTAATTGTAGAACAAAATAATAGTAATCCACTTAATTCTAAAACCAACACTTTTTCAGTAGCAATATTTTCGTCGACATAAAAAATTCTTTTAGTACACGGTCCAAATGTAGTATATTGTTTCGTTATAGAAAACGATCGTTTCGTTTTAGAGGATTAAACACTACGTATCATGAACGGTCTAGGTCAAGAGTGTTAAATTAGGCAAATGTCCCAAAATTATTCACTTCGTCATATTTTTATCAATTATGAATGCAAATTGGTAAAACTACTTCCTTACACTTTTATTAATGAACTCTTTTTCGGGATGTAACCTCCTATCGTCCTACAGGACTGTATCCTTGAAATCGTGCGGCATATATAGAAACCTTCTTGTAATAAAGGCTTTCCGAAATTCTTTAAGGTACTGGAGCATTTCGTATGATATATAATTATGAGATAGAAGTTATTAATTCTCATTTAATTGCATCATATATCATACCTACCATTGGGTTCAATGAGGCATTGACTAAATGCTAATTTAATATTTTGGTATTCATATACCACACTAAGAAAATATTTCATTTTTTCCTATCTGGATATATTAATCTCTCTCATTACAAGAGAAAATGTGCAATGAATTGAAACTATTTGCATTGTAAACTGTTCCAACGTTGAACTGCAAGATCATATCTTTCGATATTGTTCCTAGACAAAAGAAATAGATAACAATACTGTAAAAAAAATGAATTGTTACCATATATTTTAAGCAGGTACAATATGTGAAATATAGTTGACCTTTCCTCTTGCGTTATGTTGGTATGTACCCCCAGAAATTTAATATAATAAATTATTATTATAAAATTGAAACGGTCGTTAGTGAAACGTTGTCACAATTAATTACTGGCTGCACTAATTGCAAACAATTTTCAGCTTTAGCTTAAATTAACATCGCGTAAAAGAAAGGTAGTTACGTGCGATAGTGTTTAATTACTGTTACATGAACTAAAACACATGTAGTAGTTCAGAGCAAATATTTACCTTGTCGCATGACATGCACTGTGTACTTATTAATAAAAATTTTGTTGATGTCACAACCCTAACTGTGTCAGGAGCAATTAGTCATTTCTTAGAAGAGTTTTTAGATTATTGAAGCAAATATCTAAACGTACGTTAGGTAATAGCTGAAATATAACTTATTAACCGAAAGAAATCTATACGAGAACAAATGATTTTATTATCCCTTTACAAACATGTTAATGTAAACGTCAATTTGTGTAATAATAGTTACACCACTATTAGTTGCAGTTGTCCAGTTTAATTCGACCGACCTTTATTATAATAGATGTGAGAACGGATCTATTTTTTTGCAGACACTTGTATACATAACAGTGTAATAGTTAGAACAGACACATACTTGCGAAGGTATACTCATACCAGGTCGTACTAACTAACATCATTAATTTTATTTGCACAAATACACGATGTGCTTGTAATGCAATGTATACGTTCGTACATTGTGGAATCTGCCCACACAGTAATTTTTCCTTTAGGAGAATGAACTGGGCGGCAGTGTAATAATAAATTAATCAAGTACATTTGCTTATGTATAAATCACTAGTTAAGTACCTAAATGGAATGAGACGAAATTATTTTTTTAAATTTTTGAGAAAATTACATAACAATTTAATTATTCCATTTGTAAATCGTTGCCGAATTAAACAAAGTCAAAACGAAATATAGATAAGGTCCTTACTCAGAGGTGTAATCAAATACCAACACAGAATGTACAATTTGTATATAAACGTACCGATATTTCGTTACAAGAAAACTTTTAGTTTTCATGTGTTGTACAAAATATACATTGTGGTGGACTAAAAGATATAGTCAAAAAGGCTTAAAAAAACAATTTGAAAAACTGTATGTTGTTCCAATATGTGAAAGATCAGAACCAAAAAGGGGTTGCAAGTATTTTTTTGACATAGAAAGATTAAATAGCTCAAACCCCAACACCAAAACACGACACTTTAGTTGTCCGAATCACTTTTCGGTAACAAGGTAACCTTCTTTAGGGACTGAAGTTCAGTTCACTTCATTCATCGTCAGTTCACTTCAGTCCCTGGCGTTGGGGTTTGAGCTATTTTGTTTGTTCTGCAACAACCACCAAAGTTTTTACAATCTTCATATAGAAAGATTGATGCTGATTTTACATAAATACAATTATTAACAACCCCCCTCTTTACAAGAACGAGACGTGATGGCTGCAAAAAAGTTGCAAACTTTAAAAATGAGATGAGGAAATTCATTCTGTTCTTTGCTGAGATTAAATACATTTCCAAGTAGCAAAAAGTAGAAAATATTGTTAATATGCTGTATTAATAATGAAATATTGTGCATGTCTAGTTTAACTTTGCAAACCTTTTCTAACAGTGGAATCACTTTAAGTTGATTTATTAAACTTCAATTTAGACCATAAATAGAGGCAATCAACGTTACTATCTATCAGTTATAACGCTAGAAATACATAAATAGCTGCTGACCTGGCAGTTTCTAGAAACAAGTTGCTGGTGTTCAATTTGCTGCAACGAATAAATAAATATGTCTCTTTTTATAAAACCACATTATGGCTAAGTTAACAAATTCTTTACGAATAAAACAAATTACCTGATAAAAATGAATTTCCTTTATAAGCTTAGATAAAACCAAATATTTTATCATGTTTCAGAAAAGTTTTTAACGATTAATGTTGTTAGAGTAAGCCTGATTAGCATCCGAGCTTTATCCGGGTTTATTTCTATATTGGTATTTGATATTTGGTCCTAATCAGGCATTGAGAACCCTTCTACCACATGCCCTATTAAGACTGATGTGGTATTGATGTTGTACTGATTGCCTGGTTGGACCTAAATGTTCTAAGGAGTTAAATTACGTTCCTGATACGAATCCAAGCAAAATTATCTTATCTGGGTCCTATTAACTGAAGTCAGACATGCCGTATAGGAGTAACCCTAAAATTTGTAGGAAATGAGCAAATAAAAGCCGTCTTGTGAAGCTTAAGGTCTATTTTATTGTATTGAAGCTTATTTATAAAAAGTTTGACAAAATCATCACCAGTGGCACAATCAAGAGTTAATTATTTTTATTATTTCATTACCGCACTTATCTGTACTTTTTTCTTTGTTGCTTTGAAACTAGTGAACGATTGCTTATGATGATAGAATACCTCCTACAATAATTACAATGACATATTTACAACAATCATGTATTCGTATAACAATTCATTCATATTTATACCATGTCGCATGCATTCAAAAATAGAATTTAAATAGTAGGACAAAAGTGGGCTGTAGTACCGTGAATAGACGATTTGTATATCGTCAGAAATCCTTGTGGAACCGAAATTCAACTTTCATCTACACTGTTATTCAAATTGTGATATTTTATCATTCGTTCGCAATTGATCAACTATTTTTTTATTTGCATTAAACACAGGTTTAGTTAATAAATAAACCAGTATCTACTGAAGATTTTGTAATTGTCCTTTCCACATGTACACACTTGCCAAGATTACCCAAGTTGAATTACGCATACATATCACGGGGTGTTTGTTGCAATAAAATTAAAAAGAATAGATGAATACAAAATTGCACTATAATTTTACATTTCTTTTCCTTTATGACAGCAGCCATAAAGAGAACTTAAGATTTTTCTTTTGTTTCAGGCACAGCAGGCATTACGAGGAGGAAAATGAATGGGGTTGCGCCAACTGGTTTGAATACACCGTGGTGGTTGTGTTTTCAAGTGTGTTACTGTTAGGAGCTTTAGCTCTTACACTTTTCTGGGTCATCTACTACAGAGATGGTTTCGCTTGGCGAGATGATGTTAGCAAACAATTTAATCTACATCCCGTTCTCATGGTTGCTGGATTTATCACATTTAGCGGATTCTGTAAGTTAATCGATGTAATTAAATCAGTGGAATGTTGCTACCGAATTGCTATTTAGTATAAACCATGTCTGATTAATATTCTGGAATATATGGAGGGTAATATCTGGAGGCACTATAGAGTACATCCCGTTATAGCATCACAACGCAAGGGATGTAAAAAGTATGTACAAAAAGTACTGCAGTTAACGAGCCGTTAATAATTGAGAACAGTTACCGCGTCGTCTTATCGGCTTTCGAAGAAACACACATACCTATTCGTGACTTTCGCAACAGCTGATACGTAGACAAGTCAATTGTACGCAATTATTACAATGCATATGGACGGTGCAATGGAAATGCATCACTCGAATACGCGTCATCGTTATCTTTGTCGGAGCAGTTGGGACTTTAGGTGTTACTACCCTCATGTTTATGTACATATCACTGAGTGGTGCGAGGTGGCTCATTCTATATCCTTTTCATGTGCTTTTGTTTCCCTTATTTTTTCCGGAGTACCAATCAGATATGTGAATACATAAATTTGGAAGTCCTTGGAAAAAGCGTTCTCGTTTAATTAGTCAACTGACTAATCGTCAGGCAATTACTAAAAAAAGTATATATTAAGAAATTAGGCAGATTAACATACTACTTGAAGGGTTACAAGAGTTTCTTTTTAACTTTTTAAGAGAATAATAAATTTTTTCGACAAACAAAACATAGATTACACCTAACTGCGTTCTAAAACTTTAATAGAAGCTACGATAGTTTTTGTTACAGATAAAACAAACATTGTTTATATTTACATTTATATTTTTCTAATAGTGGCAATTTTTCTAACAAATATAAATATTTATTTTCTTGCTTTAATAACACTAATTACCGTGTTATTTAATTATCTGTTGTTCTGCTCATACCAAACCCTTTTTTTAGTCCCCGCTAGGAAAGAATGCGAGCTCTTTCTCGAGAGAATTGATGCTATACACGCAAACTTTTAGAAAAATTACCGACTTATTTTCAGACGAACATAAATGTAACCTAATAAATTCCTGAGGGCATGAGTATATTAGGGACGCCATTCACATCAGTTGAAATTAAAACTTGACAAAGAAAATGCTCTCATTACTGCAACTTAACAAATCAAGATGATAGCATGTTTTGTTTATTCCAAATTTCTTTGTATTATAATCTGTAAAAATTTTAGGCATACTTTCTGGTAATGCTAATAATATTATATTTAGTAAAGTTTGCTAGATATTGTTAACCAAATGCATAAATATATCGTAGTTTTAAAAATGTTCGGCACCTCCACCAAAAGCGATTTCGATTTATTATTGTTAATTTTTGTGATTTAGGAGACCTAAAACGAAAATATTTTCGTTCCAAATATTTAGGATTTTCATACGGGTTTTTGACACTCAAAGTGTGATCCTTGGTACCAGAATACAAAGAATTTACTTTAAGTTTTAAAACTTGCATTATCTTGTGAAAAACGCTGTCCCTAATATAGATCCTCGAATCTAACATAATTTCTTTTTTTTTTCTTTCAGCCGTCCTACTATACCGTATTTGTCGTTGTTGTCGCCGAATTTATGTGAAACTTCTTCACACGATATTCCACGCCCTAGCCATTCCATGTGTTGCCATAGGCTTTTTGGCTGTATTAGATTCGCACAATTTAGCCGAACCACCCATTCCAAACTTCTATTCAATCCACAGCTGGCTAGGCCTCGTTACAATGGGCCTTTTCGTTATTCAGGTAAGTTCCGAAATAAACAATCAAGAAATAATTTCAATGAATACAATACTTTCGACATTAATTTTATTCGACACTTCTTTCTTTAACTAAGAAATTATTTTGGGTCGGTTACAAGCTTATTTTTTGACTATTTGGCAAGAAATTTAGATTGAATTTGAAATAAAAGCAAATTTATGTAAACAATGATTTAGCTAATATATTATCTTATGCTGTTAGAGCAGAAGGATTAATTTCAAAATTTAGGTTATCATCAAGCAGGATCGTTGGTTCTTGATGTTCTAGAAGACGTTTGCTAACTGAACGTCTCGTTTGACCTACATATATCAACTCGTAATTATTACACTATCTTTCTGTTTTACTATGCCAATTCTTTTTTCAATTAAACTAGACTAAACTAATGCATTATGGGTTTCGCGGTATTGACAAAACAGTATTGTAGGAAAATAAATGAAAGTAAAACAAAAATACTGGTATACAAGGGAAGAAAAAGTAGGTAAAGAGCGAATATAAAGATAGGAGACGAAAAATTAAAGAAGTAGCTGATTTTCGGTATCTAGGAAATCGACTTACAATATTACAATAAAAAATGATAGATACAAATAGGTACGTAGATTGAAGTTATGTATACGGATGTTTTTCTTTCAGTTTGTAATTGGCTTCTTCAGTTTTCTGGTTTTACTTTGTTGTGAAGGAGCTACCGCAGCTTTTCGAGCGGCTCTTGTGCCAATTCACGCGTCTTTCGGACTTACGACATTCGTCCTAGCTGTTGCTTCTTGTCTTACCGGTCTAACCGAAAAAGTAATATTCACACTTGGGTAAGTATTTCTTTTCAATAGCCACAAACATTCCAAAACAATTGAGCTGGTTGCGTAGGTATGAAGGTTTTTGTGCAAAATAATACATAATTGCTCATTATATATTACAAGACTTTCTTCCTTCCTTACTAATAAAGTAAGAAACAAAAACTTGATCTGTGGTAGACATTTTTGGATACAAATTACTTTACTGTGATTAACGAATTTTTTATGAAAACAATAATAGTTGATTATAATTTGAATATTCTCGTCCCAATATTTTAAAATTCAAAGAGTCTAGCAAAAGGGCGATGGCCAAAATTAATAAACAAAAATGTTTTATTAATTTAGAATAATTATAGTTGCAGTTACTTAATGAAGTTTATACTATAGAAACGATATCAAATTGCGATTTATTTTAGAAATGCTTATTCAAGTTGGCCCGAGGAAGGAATAGTTGTGAACACGTTGGCCATGGTGCTAGTGGCCCTGGCCATTTTGGTATCGTTTGCAGTACGCAGTCCCGTTCTACACTCAAACACGAAAGTGTACGTAACAGAAAGATTATAGGACAAGGTGTTAAGTGTTGATGGTGTTTTAGATTGTAAAAGAACTAGCAGTTTACAGGACATCGACGAGACCAAGGATCGCTTCTAAATGCCAAAATATCAATTACTAAAGACGTTTTGTATACCGAAATAAATGTCTCTGTATTTGACAACACGATGGTACCAAGCTGCATGCCTCAATATTATATTATATTATATTGTATANCTGGAATTCGTTCGTTCCGAACGCGTTTTGGACAATGTTTCGATTGGCGGAGTTCATTTCGTGAGCACTAATCATGTGCCTTCTAAGATACAAGTCCGTTTTGAATGTTTTTCGGCACACGTGACATTCGACATATGTCGGAAAATGTATCAGTTTCATGTGCTGTCGTAAATTGGATAGGTTGCTGTAAACTCGTCCGCATTCGGAACACGGCCTGGGATCTAGCGAGTGAAGTTTGCGATTGTCTGTGCCTGCAACAAATTAAAGAAATGAGCGACTCGTTGCAAGCACAAAGTAGACCGCAGAACAAAAAGAAAAACGAAAAACAAAATAAATTTTGAAACCGTATCGCGTAGTACCGTTATTTTCATAATGCAAACACGAAAACAAAAAGAAATGACATGAAAATTAAAAGGCTAAAGCTTTCACGGCCTGCGTTATCTGAAGAAAACCTTTATATTTGGACTTGATGACTGTGACCTAGGGTTAGCTCCCTCTAACTCTGGACTACAGCCATCAAGTTCAATATCGAGCTTTCTTCTTCAAACAGACGATAATAAGATTTATTTAGTTAAGATTTACCCCACCAATAATTTTTATTTTTAAGGCAATCTAGAAAACAATATTCAGTACCTATATATTTATCGATGTCATATACCACTTCGTATTTAATATATAATAATATTACTATCGTAGGTAGGTATATAAACGATTAAACGTAGACAGATACTGTCCATTCACTTAGAGAATGGTACACATACTTTAAGAAGTTATTTATGGCGCCTGAGGCTTACGATTGGACTTTGATCGGAAACATCTGACGGTAAACGAACTGTATTCGTTTGTGCGTATCCCCACGCTGTCCTTTTCTCTAAGAGAACGGACAATAGTAATTAGGCTATGTATTCGTAGGGTAGCGTGTCATATAGGCAGTATGGTAGGTCGCAACTTTATCATTCAAGTGTTGTATATAAAATAAAATAGAACTGTGTGCTGTAACTGGCACATTTATATACATATGTGCTTGTGTTGCATTTATATATAATTAAATCAATAATTAATAAGTTATTTAATTTCGAACACGGAGCTACGATTTATTGATGTAATGGAGGTAAAGAGGTACCTTTGTTGTTTGACAAGGGACCAAAATTGTCCCTGTGGTACAAAAGAAAACTATATACTAACGATAAAACAATTTGTTTAATGTCAATTTTTCTTAATTTTTCCGTTTTTACAAAAAAAAAATCAAAAACTGAACTCGATCGAATGATTCAATTAAAATACAGCAATACTTATTAGCAAATTTCTATCGATTTAACATGGACTTAGTATTGTCCTTTTTCTTATAAATTAATAGACTTTATTTAAAGCGAAAATGTGGTTTGAAAAGCTTGGAATTTTGCTCAAAAAGTGTATACCCAAATCGCGAAATCTGATGACTTTATTTTCTCGTAATTTAAAAAATAAACTACGCATTTTTATACGTAATAATTAATGCCTAAAACATACGATAATGCAATAACAATTAAGCTTCTTGACAAGAAAAAAGTACCTAATTCGAAGTATAATCAAAACGTTCCATGACATTAAATGATGAATTTTTTGCTTTAAATTAAGTTTTGCAGGTCCATTAGCAACAACCAGACAGTAAAAAGGCGCTTTTATTTTTTGTTATTGCTTATTTATTTATGGGTAATTGTTTTCACAGAAAAAGACAAAAATCTCAAAATACGTATTTGTCTATTTTTGTTGATTTCATGTATCAGACGATGTTTTCAGCGTGTCCGTCGACATCCTAGTTAGCCACGTGTAGTTTTTTAACAGTAATTATGAACCTTATAATTAATTAGAGGGACTTTTTAAAAATATTTTTACCCAAATGAAAATTACTGAAAATAGAACGCGTGAAATTAAAAATATCATTAACTATTATTAATTGATTTTTCACAGTTAACCAGTACAAAGTCTATTTACATTATTGTATATGTATATATAATAAATATNATTTAGCGCAATTTTTTAAAATTTATACACTTTTTATTGCAATAATTGAAAATGGAAAATTTAGAATCTTTCTTCTACTTCTACTGCCTACAATCAAATTTGTAAATAGACTTCGTGTAGTTTTGATGTCATTATAGAATGTAAAGGGATGATGAAATGTGAAAAAGTGGCAAAAAGATGTTATCTCTTTAATACTCTGTCTGTCTGTCTGTCTCTGTATCTATTTAGTAATTATATATTAATTACATTATAAAGTAACGTAAATTTTATCGTTGTGATGTACGCATATAAAACACTTTGTATTAGTGATGTTGTAAGAGTTTGTTTTTTTAGTAAAATGTAATATTTACTCAATTTCAAGTTTGTGTTATCTTTTTCTGTCCCCTAAAAGTGTTTGGCGAAATATTGTTTTCGATTTTGTTTAATAAATTATAAATATTACATCGTTCAAGCATGGTTTTATTACACTACAATAAATAAAAATGATATAACCATCAGGTAAGTTGTTTTAACAATAATTTGTTATTGTTAAATATTTGCGGTAAGTATTCAAAAATATTAGTCAAAGATATTACATTTAAAAAATACATAAAGTTTCACAAAGAAAAATTCACGTTCTTCTGTATTGAATAATCAGGAGCGTTAATTTATCTCCTACCCCACAATCGACTTAGGACAGCATATGTTACCAATATTCCACTAAGAATAAGGGCAGATATGTAGGCGTTAGCGATATATACTCTTTTGTTTTTTACATCCCTTGAATCAGTTTCAAATATATAAGGTGTTATGTTTCTATTACGCAGAATTGCTGTACCACTGTATCTTGTCATTTTTCTAAACAATAATTAATAACAATTAATATTATATATAAAAGAAAAAGAGCACAGTGCAAAGTAGTATTACGTAGTTAGTATCAGAAATTTCTTATGCTGAAGTGTAAGATGTGTTGCATACCTATTTACAAACAATTTCCTTTAAATTTAATTCTTCAAACGGTGAAACAATGATACTAACAGTTTCGAGCTCACAGTGACTGATAGGGGGGAAGAACTAGAGTAATTTAAAAGAAAGTTAAATAGTTACAATTAACAACCCCAATGAGCAGCGACTTTTTTGGCAATTAAAAATAAATATACCAGAAATAAATTCGGTTTTACCATACACACATCACTGGAAATAGAATTGATGGTACTGAATTTAACTCACCGTAGGGGCTAAGAATATCAGTGTTGGGAAAGTACAAGTAAAACGTTATTGTTGGTAATACTAACTGAGCTTTGGACATCATTGTCCTTACCATACCAGAAACAGCAGTGGCTACTGCAACCCAAAAGGCTCCAATACCAAAAGCAGCATGAATCGGTCGACAGCTTGCACGTAAACAACATGATATTGGACCGCAAGCGAGAAGAACTATAAATTTCAAAATTCCAAATACCACCTAGACAAAAACATTTAACTAAAGTGGAACTGTTTTACAGTATCAGGATGTAAAAATAACAATCCGAAGGATCCAAATCACTTCTCAAAACTGTTCATGTTCAATTTATTTTATATATTTTTATAAAAACAATTCCGGAAGGTAAGTATTTGACACCAGGCTCAAAAACCGTCAGTACCATGACATTCCACGTACATTTGTACATGATAATCACCTCTCAAAGACTAGCAAATACCTTCAATCTCACAAGAATTTTACAAGAGTTTATTCGTGTTCAATTATTTTATATATTTTAGAAAAAGTACTGTCCCAAAGTACCTAGTTAATACCGCACTCGAAAGCCGTTTGTATCATGAAATTCAACGTACTCTTTTACATAATTATCACTTCTTACTTTCATCTCACAATTATTTCACGAGCGCTTTTCATGTTTAAATTATTTTATATATATTAGCAAAAATAATGTCACAAACTACCTATTTGATACCATACTCGAAAACTACGAGATTCTACGTACTTTTTTTTTAATATTACTACTTAACGCCTAGTAAAGCTCCCACTAATTTGTGGAAGTGATTTACTGGATCAAAATGTAAAAAAATAAGAGCCTACTTTCAATTAATGAAAATTTTCTAGGATGACGATTGGCATTTTAACAAAATTTGGATCTTTTTTAAGGTATTACTGATTTAACTTTTTTAGTTACTTATATAGAAATTACTTCGGCTAGAAACAGCGCTATGGCAAGCAGTCCCATCCAGCTATGCGCCGAAAAGAAGTGCTTTTTCTTTTCATGTTCTTTTATCTCGTATGCCAGATAAGTAGCTAGTCCAATAAGAACTCCTGCACCGATGATAACTACCAAATGAATTACTCTCATGCCAGCTCTATCACAGCAATTTGAAATTCGAAATAAAGTAATGGCTATAATAAAATTAGAAGCGTGTAAAATAGATTTCATTTTTGCGATTAGCTGACAGGTATCATACCTTTAATTCTTTAATGCAAGATTAATTACCAACTAATTTGAATCAGTACGATGCCTCATTGCCAGTAAAAAAGGTTACAAGAATTTAATATACATTGGTCACTCACCAATTCCCGTCAACGTGATGAAACCGAGGGTTTCTAAAAAACTGTGCATATTCATGCTGGCTTCGTTAGTTTCACTTTCCGGGGTTGATAGTTTTCTCCAACGAAATCCTACACCGTAAGTGTTGAGATAATATCCTATTAATGCCGCGGCGCCCAAGAAAGCAACAGCAGCAAGGATTACAATGAAGATGAATTCAACCCCACCGAATGTGCTAAAACAACCCCGACGACTTACACAGTACGGTGGGGCTTTGCGACATGCATCTATACAATCTTCATCTCTGCAAAAAAATTAAAATTAGTACAGACCTTTAAGGACACTCTAAAAAAGGTTCAAAACTCAATCTTAGCATTAGGTCTTAAACATAAATTATTTTAATACTTTAATAGATATAGTGCAGGTAAGTTGCTTTTGGCACCATGACATTTTACGTACATTTTTATATAATTATCGCTTATCAAGGTTTAGTAAATACCTTGCAATTCCAAACAATTATTATGATCAAACTATTTTTTAAGTTTTACAGAAAGAATGCCGGAAAGTTCCTGTACCTTAGCATGTAATTACCACTTGTAAAAACGCTTCCATCTCTGAATAATTTCACTAGCGATTTTTCATGTTGTATTACATTACATATTTCAATAGAAATAATGTCGGAATGTGCCTATTTGACACCGTACTTGAAAACTGTTGGTACCATGAGATTCAGCGTACTTTTTTACGTAGTTATCACTTTTCAAGGTTTAGTAAATGCATTCCATCTACGAACAATTTCACGAGCGCTTTTTCATGTCGCATTACGTACATTACATATTTTAATAGAAATAATGCCGGAATGTGCCTATTTGTCATCGCATATGAAAACCATTGGCACCATGAGATTCAGCGTACTTTTTTACATAGTTATCACTTTTCAAGGTTTAGTAAATGCCTTCCATTGAGGAATAATTTCACGAGCGCTTTTTCATGTCGTACTACATTACATATTTTAATAGAAATAATGCCGGAATGTGCCTATTTGACCCCGCATTTGAAAACTGTTGGCACCATGATATTCAGCGTACCTTTTTACATAGTTATCACTTGTCAAGGTTTAGCTGATACCTTCCATCTCGGAATAATTTCACGAGCGCTTTTTCATGTCGTATTACATTATATATTTTAATAGAACTAATGCCGGAATGTGCCTTTTTGACATCGCACATGAAAACTGTTGGCATCATGATATTCAGCGTACTTTTTTACATAGTTATCACTTCTCAAGGTTTAATAAATGCCTTCCATTACCGAATAACTTCACGAGCGCTTTTTCATGTCGTACTACATTACATATTTTAATAGAAATAATGCCGGAATGTGCCTATTTGACCCCGCATTTGAAAACTGTTGGCACCATGATATTCAGCGTACCTTTTTACATAGTTATCACTTGTCAAGGTTTAGCTGATACCTTCCATCTCGGAATAATTTCACGAGCGCTTTTTCATGTCGTATTACATTATATATTTTAATAGAACTAATGCCGGAATGTGCCTTTTTGACATCGCACATGAAAACTGTTGGCATCATGATATTCAGCGTACTTTTTTACATAGTTATCACTTCTCAAGGTTTAATAAATGCCTTCCATTACCGAATAACTTCACGAGCGCTTTTTCATGTCGTACTACATTACATATTTTAATAGAAATAATGCCGGAATGTGCCTATTTGTCATCGCACATGAAAACCGTTGGCACCATGAGATTCAGCGTACTTTTTTACATAATTATCACTTCTCAGGGTTCAGTAAATGCTTTCCATCTTCGAATAATTTCACGAGCGCTTTTTCATGTAGTATAACAGTACATATTTTAATAGAAATAGTGCCGGAACGTACCTATTTATCACCGCACTTCAAAACCGTTGGCACCATGAGATTCAGCGTACTTTTTTATATAGTTATCACTTCTTAAGGTTTAGCAGGTACCTTCCATCTCGGAATAATTTCACGAGCGCTTTTTCATGTTGTATAACATTACATATTTTAATAAAAAATAATTCCGGAATGTGTCTATTTGTTATCGCACATGAGAACCATTGGCACCATGAGATTCAGCGTACTTTTTTACATAGTTATCACTTCTCAAGGTTTAGTAAATACCTTCCATCTCGGAATAATATCACGAGCGCTTTTTCATGTCGTATTACATTACATATTTTAATAGAAATAATGCCGGAATGTGCCTTTTTGACACCGCACTTGAAAACTGTTGGCACCATGAGTTTTAGCGTACTTTTTTACATAATTTTCACTTCTCAGGGTTCAGTAAATGCCTTACATCTTCGAATAATTTCACGAGCACTTTTTCATGTTCACTTTATATTACATGTTATAGCAGATTGTATTTTTTTTATTACTGGTAAATTTTACTTACTCATCTGAATCTTCACAGCAAATTTCTGGATAATTTCTTACCCTATGGCTGTTACATGTGTTAAAGGAACACATTTTAACCCCTTTTTAAATACAAAAAACTGTAAATGTCAATCTATTCTGACAAAAAAATACAATAAATGTAAAATTGGGAGAGGAAAAAAGTAATTATAACCAAAATAAAAAATTCAAGTTCCCAATTCCAGTTTCAAAACACCCTTATACTTTTAGTCATGTGGACAGTAGCACGGTAAACTTTTTACATGTTTTTAACTTTTTTCAGCATATACACACATGTACCTTTCATTTGATATCACTCATAACTCCATAACAAATACACTCCAAGAAAATACATGCACCCTTATAACGTGCGTTTTAGTCGTGCAAGTGCGACCAATCGTCCCGTACTCTTTTCAAATGAACATAGAATGCCGGGACTTTTAATTTGTTACATGATAGGTACATCTATCTGTAGCAAAAGCTACTATTTAAATAGTATTAAATACTTTTACATTTTTGGTAATTCAGAAATAAAACAATCTTTTATAAATATACCTTTTTATTTGTAACAACTAAAAACATTGTAAACATAACACATGTATATATCAATAAATAAACTCTAAAATCACTTGCAGTAATATAGAAACTAATAATTTGGTAAACACAAATCTACTATTCAACTAAAATCCTAACAAAGTATCTTCTTTGGGACTGTTTACATTTTCTACGTGCCCTGCAAATTGCTCTGTTGATCTCTGAAAAAAACAGAAACCTAAAAAAGTTACGCTTCAATTTCTTTTTCGTCTTACCCAAAATACCTAACTGCTTTCATTTTAAAAGCTGTCGAATTTTCTTTGCATTTATATGCTAAAACTTGCTTAATTCTACTAACTTCAACCATTGGAAAACGATTGGCAACGTATGCTAAAAATAAAAAGAAGTTCTTTAAAATCATCATAATTAAAATCAACTGTTGAAACATCACATCATCAGTAGATGTAAATGTGGAAACGATAAAAGGACTTACAGATTATAGCTTGTACTTTGGCTCGATCTAGAGCAGGTTTCACAGGTCTTTCCCCATTTCCCGCCCTGCTCCATCTTTGGCCTGTTACTGAACATGTCGCTAACTCAGCTGGACTAAATAAAATAGTCGCTAATCCTCTCGTCAGTTTTCTATAATCGCTCCATTTAACGCTACGCAATTGATCTTCGTATATTTCAACCCCTTCGCCAAGTTTCACCTTATAAATGACAACATTTATAAAACCCTATAACTATCATAAAATAACAAAACAACTGTATACCAATCTAAATAAAACACTAAACTCCAAAACTCCAGAAAACGTTTCGTTTCGACGCCCAAGGTACCTTCTTCACTTAGACCTTAGATACTGAAAAGCGTTTCAGATTGCTATTTTGTGAAAATTTGGAATTTAGTGTTTTAATTATTTTCTTTTTCACAATCCTCTATTTGATTTTATTGCATACCAATCTGTTTCGTTTTTCACCCTCATTCCCTGCAGGGGGTAATTCTTTATATTCGGTATCAATCGACAATTCTTCGTTAAATTTTTCAGACAGTGGAAGCCAATGATTATAAGATGGACGATGTCTTCTGATAATACGATCATATTCTTAACACAAAAAAAAAATAATAAATCAAAAGTCGATTTATTATAAATGAGCACAGGTTTAAAGAAGATTAATTAAAATAAAATAAGAATAAACTTATTGAATTTACTCGTGGCCAATGTTATCACAACACAAAATAGATACAACGTTATTAAAATTTGATTATTTTATTAACAAAAAAATAGGTATAAATTGCACAAAATTTCCGTCAATACCTGGTAAATTAATACTATCATTATGTATATAGAACAGTCTTGAAATGTCTTGAACTTAGATTACGAAATAAAATGTGAATAATTGTATAAAATATAGCAAAAAAATATTAATTAATTTAGGAATCACATTTGAAAAACGTCTTATTACATGTTTTTGTCATCACCAACGTTATAATACTGATATTCACAGGAATTGTTGAAATTATTCAAAAAAGAATTTGGGTTGGTCTCTTCGCTCCTGACAGTACCATTACTGTTATTATTATTATTAGTATTACTATTATTACTTAAAACAAAATTATGATTATTAAGTACAGATTTGTTGTTATCAGGCTGGAATTCGTTCGTTCCGAACGCGTTTTGGACAATGTTTCGATTGGCGGAGGTCATTTCGTGAGCACTAATCATGTGCCTTCTAAGATACAAGTCCGTTTTGAATGTTTTTCGGCACACGTGACATTCGACATATGTCGGAAAATGTATCAGTTTCATGTGCTGTCGTAAATTGGATAGGTTGCTGTAAACTCGTCCGCATTCGGAACACGGCCTGGGATCTAGCGAGTGAAGTTTGCGATTGTCTGTGCCTGCAACAAATTAAAGAAATGAGCGACTCGTTGCAAGCACAAAGTAGACCGCAGAACAAAAAGAAAAACGAAAAACAAAATAAATTTTGAAACCGTATCGCGTAGTACCGTTATTTTCATAATGCAAACACGAAAACAAAAAGAAATGACATGAAAATTAAAAGGCTAAAGCTTTCACGGCCTGCGTTATCTGAAGAATTGGACTTGATGACTGTGACCTAGGATTAGCTCCCTCCAACTCTGGACTACAGCCATCAAGTTCAATATCGACCTTTCTTCAAACAGACGATAATAAGATTTATTTAGTTAAGATTTACCCCACCAATAATTTTTATTTTTAAGGCAATCTAGAAAACAATATTCAGTACCTATATAACATTTTGACTAAATCACAACTAATATAGGCAGCACACAATACACTATAATTGTCCTAATGAGTATAAAACTTTGGTTTATCAGAATATTGTGGTATTCCCGTAATTTAGTGATTCAGTTACATTAATTTTTGAAGAATAATGATATGAAAAGACAATTCCATTTCCTAAATTTGCAATTTAACGTCTAATATGGGATACAATTATTTAGTTAGTACTTATGACAAAAACATGAAACTTGGCTTAGCTCGTTTACCTGGTAATGACTTTTAAGTTTATTATTAAATTTTTTTTTTATTAATTAAGAATGCACTGGCCGTTATTAATATAATTTGTGCAATAAAATTGAAAACAAAGAGAATTAATACTTAAGAAGTAATATTCTTGTGATTTATATGTCAGTTACTAAGAATGGTACTTATCAGTTGAAATAGATATAATTTACCAAAATTTTTCGATTTTTAAAAAAATGCTTACCTTGGGAAATACCCGAAATATTTCCTTTTGGTGAAAAACTACAGTTCTGAGGAATAATTTCCATTCCAGCTAAAAATAACAAACAATATTATCAAAATACTAAACAATTTAAGTTATAATAAAGAAAAAGAACTAATTAATTACAATTCCATGTAACGTAGTATTCTTACCTGGCAAATCTGCCATATCAGTCAAAGCACAGTTTCTATTTTTTCCTTCTTTGGTTTCATCATCACTTAAATAATCTGGCATTTCAACCTTGGGCTCAAAAGCCTCAAAGGACATATAATTCCTAATATCATTTTGTAATGCAAATGGATTTACATTGATACTGTCATCCTTTGGCAGGTCTCTAATGATTGGTGAATTAATATAGGCCCTATCATTTTTACAAAGTCGTTTACTAGTTGGAGATCTGTTAGGACTTAAAGAAAAATTAAAATCTTGACTAGAAGTTACAGTACTACTTGAGGATTCTTGTGTTTTAGTTGTTGACACTTGCTTATTATTTGAATGCAACAGTGTCTTAGAAGATGATGGCTGGGGATTAAGAAATAAACCATTCTAAAAATTGATGCAGTTTAGGGAAGATATTTATTGGATAATGTAAGGAATTTACCTCTTCTTTTGTACAGTCTAAATTTGAAGAAGTATCAGTGAGCCCTCGAATTTTAAGTGACTCAGCTGTTTTAAGAAATGCTGAAAGTTGTGCTTGAGCTACGTTTACTTCACCAGCATACATAAATTCCATCAAAGCAACTATGTGCTGAGCTTCCACGTCTCTCATAAAAATTATGGGGTGAGGACAGGGATTACTCTGTAAAATCCCGATTTTAAATATCTTAATTAATTACCAGTTCTACCAACATTAGTAATATTATATTTTAATGATGGGGTACAAAGTTTATTTTCTGATAAACTTATATTATTTTCGTAAATATTACCTTAAAAAGTTCCTTGAAAAACGGACTACATGCAGATAAAACAATTTTGTGTGCCTGAAGTCGTTGACCCTCGCAGGCAATAGTAACGTCTGTAAAATCTTCATCATCGCGAAGAGTTTCAAATTGTGAGGTGATATTTGCTTGAAAGTTGTTCCATCTTAAACAGAATTGCTGCTCGTCAGCTGTACACATACTTCGTCAAATTTTTCTTAAACCGCCACTACACATTCAAGGATTTTGTTATACGAACAACACTTCAAGGAAGACATCTAAGACTTAAAAATAAACTACCTTTTAATTTTAATCAATATACTTTCTTCTGACCAACTAAGAAAAAGAACATCCCTACAATTTTTAACTATGGTGGCTAAAAATAGCTATAAATTTTACTTGCAAATTTCTTACATTAAATTTAAATAAATTCGCTAGTACTTTTAAAAGCTTTCTTGCATTACCATTTTTCCAAACTATTTTCTATGTTCATGCTTATAAAACACACTCATGAGACATGAGCATGAACAGGGATGTACAAATTTAACCTAAGGATATCCAAAACATTTTAACATTTCTGTGATTCAATTTAACGTAGAAAAAGATATGTTTGCTGTTTTCTTGAAATCAAATAATCGAACAAATGCCTTTATTTGTTTAAATTTTAATGATGTACACGTACAGCATGTTTTAAAATAAAATAAAATCGTAAAATTGTATTATAATTCTGTGGATAAGAACTAAACTTCAATTTAATTCAATGATGTCGTTCATAGTTCACCGTTAATAAGATAGATAGCACTAATGGTCAGGATTGGCTGAATGACTAACAGAGATAATGATTAACTTCAGTTTTGAAAGAAGTTAACCGAAAATGACGTTCGCAGGCGTTCACGGCTGTTTCTATTAAACTAATTTAACTGATAAAAACGGTTTATGTGGCAGTGATAGTGCGGCATGAAAATAAAAAGACGAGATACGTAAAGTGTTTCATTAATTAAAGAACATTTCCAGTTAAACATTTGTGAAGTTGCTTGACCTTAGGTGTCCAGTTATGAAATGTCAGAAAGTAAGAAATGTTTTTTATTTTTAAATGCTTGGATTATGTCATACATTTCAAAAATTGTTAAATTCCTTTGAATACAAGAAATAATAGTCCCATTCTACCTTGCCTATGTTTTTCTCTTTACCTTTTCATTATTTAAATAATTGCACTTGATACATTCTCTCGACGTAAATTGAACAATTACTGAATTAATTAATTGCCGCAAAGTATATGAGTAATTTCTATTTATAATACCTGCAAGAGTACTAAACAATTTAAAAAATAATTTTCTCTATTTTGTGGAAAATATATTCCACCAAATTCAGAAATCAATGATGCACCTACGTAATTATTAATATTTAATTTTTATTGTTAATTAATGTTTTATTTTCTTAAGTACCGATTAATTGTTGTTAAAAATGCTTTATTTTATTTTTTAATTAAGTGCAGTGAGTATAACTTCTTCTTCAATGATATTACTTAATTATTTGTATAATTATGTGAGTACTAGACCTGATTGATTTAAATTAAACTTATTCTGTGATTAAATTTACGTAGATTGCAAAGTTATTCTTCATAAATTTGACTGAACATTAGTAAGGAATATTATCAGGTTTGTCACAATGTACACTAACAATAAAACCATAATCAGTTGAAAGCTACGTTAAAGGTTTTCCTTCACTGATTACAAACTGCAAACATTAAAAATTGCAATATGATAACTACTTACATAGACTGAAAACAATGGGTATTTTTGGACGCAAAGTATCAATGTGCGTTTGTTGTTATAAGGTTGCAAAATTTGCATTTTATCGTTAAAATATCCAGCGATTTTATTTACAGAATATTTTTCTTTAATTTAGGCAGCCTTAGGACTGCTATTCTTTTGATAAAGGTGCATCGTCAAGCTGGACACCAGGGCGCAGGGGAGCAGCGCCCAGTGCGCGCAAACCCATACCTCTGTTCCTACAAAAGATCAAGAAACTTTAACAGGTAATTATTTTTAATATGATTTTTACTTATAATTCTGTTTTGACATATCATTTTACTTTAAAATTGAAGTAGATATAGCCTTTCTCTACCGAATGTTCTTTTTTCTAATAAAATAAAATGTACAAACCATTTTTTTTATACATTTAATTAATACAAATGCTATATTTTGTTACGCAATTTAAAAGAATATTTTGCATACAATTGGTATGTACCTAGTGATAATTTTATCTGTCAATGTATGTACAGTTTTAAACAAAATTTGTTGATTGAATTAAAATAAAACAAGTTGAAGTAAAGGAGATATAAGATACTCTATTGTATACTATGTAATATATCAATTTTGTTTTTGCTTTCATTGTTTTATTTATTTTATTTGGTTCATCGTTCGTTAATATTTCTGGCTGGTATGATATTTTCGTTAGAAAGATTGTATCACCAATTTTATATTTTGATTTTGTCTTGATGTCAAGGTGTTGTTCCAATTTTCCTTTCATCTCATTCATTAGCTTTACGGGCAGTGGCTTTTCCTAATGGAGCATGAAAATTGCGTTGCCTTTTACTTGTTATAAATAAACGTTAGCCTTTGATTACCAATTTTGTAGTTTTGACATCGTTGCTATGCCAACCGCATTTGCGACCACAATGATTAACGATGGTTAAACCCTTGACAAAGACCTACTTTTAATATAGGTGCAGGTCTAGATAGGGATGATTCGTTAAATATTGTACCGCTACAGTGAGTATTGGTAGTATAGTAAAATATTATGTTAAGGAAAAGTTAAATCGATGCATAAATAATAAATTTACAAGGAAAACAAAACTATTTGTCTTTTAAAGCGCGAGACTGTGGCAGTAACTGCTATTTTCATTTTTTTCAACCTTGCTGATTATAATGGAAACTATTAACTACTTTATAGATTTAGTTATTTAAATAATTTATGAATTTTTATCAATTTGAACCATTATTCATAATTAATTTTTGTTAGTCATTGCACACAATCTTTTGCGTATCTACAGATATGCATGTACAATTTTCAATTTCAGTGGGAAATAAAAATTATATCGCAGTTTGAGTAATAATGAAGTTATTTTGTTTGTGATGTATTGTAATAGTTATTCATAAGGTACTATTACTTATTTACAATTGTGTAGAAATTAAACATTTAATTTTTTTTAACAAAAAAGACAGTACAACTGTACATATAGTGACTACACTGAGACTCAGTACAACTGTGTCGGTACATGTAAAGACTGTACTGTCTCAGTGTAACCACAGCGAAGAACTGCGCCCTCACTATACTGAGACTCAGTAAAATTGTCTCTGTACTTACAAAAACTGTACTGAGACTACGTAAAACCGTCTCTGTTCATGCAGAGATTGTCCAGTCTCACTACAACCACAACGAAGCACTAAACTCTGACTGTACTGAGATTCAATGTAACTACAGCGAAGAACTGCGCCCTTTCTATACTGAGACTCCATAAAACCGTCTCTGTTCATGCAGAGATTGTGCAGTCTCACTACAACCACAACGAAGCACTACGCTGTGACTGTTCTGAGACTCAGTACAACTGTCTCTGTACATGTAGATACTGTCCAGTCTCAGTACAACCACAGCGAAGAACTGCATTGATACTCAGTGCAATCGTCTCTATACATATAAAGAGCATACTGACACTCAGTAAAGACGTCTTTGTACATACGAAGACTGCAGTGAGACTCAGTTAAACTCTATGTATACAGATACTGTACTGATTATGAGACTCAGTACCACTGTTTCTGTACATGCAAAGATTGCACTGTCTTAGTGCAACCACACCGAAGAACTACACTCTGACTGTACTGAGTCTCAGTACAACCGTCTCCGTACATACAGTCTCAGTACAACCACAGCGAAGTACTACTCCCTTAATGTACTGAGACTCAGTACAACTACAGTGAAGTACTACTCCCTGACTGTACTGAGACTCAGTACAACCACAGTGAAGAACTACGCCCTGACTGTACTGAGTCTCAGTACAACGACAACGAAGTACTACTCCCTGACTATGCTGAGACTCAGTACAACCAAAGCGAAGAACTACTCCCTGATTGTACTGAGACTCCATACAACCGTCTCTGTACATGCAGATACTGTAGAGTCTCAGTACAACCACTGTGAAAGGCATTACGTCTCTGCCATACTGGGTCTCAGTATAATCACAACGAAGGACTACGACTTCGCTGTACTGAGACTTCGTATGCCCACAGTAGTTAGCGAAACGTCGGATAAAAGACTCCATCGTGCAATCCCGAATATTAAATATTATTCAGATATCGCTTGTCATTAAAGCCTAACCCTTTTTAAAAAATTGAACGATTGAAAATAATTTTCGACAATACTTACATTGTTCAGTCGCGATTCTGAACAGGATTTCTTAACTGTACACTGGCATTGCAAATCCACTTACAAAGTTTTATTCTATCTAGCCATCCTAGACCTACTTAGCATAAAACCTGTCCGTACAATTTAGCGGGGTCGTTGTAATGGACTTTCTCGGCGAATTCAACGGTTTGTTTCACTTTTGTCGTTTCTAGTGAAGAGCAGAGTTGCACAGATACGTACGTGTTTATAAAACGGAACATTTTTTTCAATTTATACTTGTTAATAAAATAAAAAAATCAACGAACTTTGTGAAAACAGCGAAGCCACGAGTGATAATAAATGTCGTCAGTGCAGATAGTCGTTATCTAAATCGCGATTTGATCACGGGAATCGAATGTTTGAAAAGCCTACGTGATACAAGTCATATTATCTGTTGTATTACCTTCAATCGGTGCCCACGAAAGAAGGTGAATGGCAGCATAGTCTGTCTGTCAGGCCGTGACGGTAAATCGCATTGTGTTGAACGGTTCCCGTGTAGGAATCGAGTAGCGTATAACAATACACGAGTTCTCGATCTTACAAACTACACCAATTTTAACAGAGAATACAAATTTATCTAACAATAGTATTCTAAAAGTCCTAAAAATTATCATATTTACATTTCGGGTGTAGCGTCCGTTATTTTTCGCGACTTGTTTCTGCGATACGGTTTCCGCGATGTGCAAGCATTCAGAGAGAACCGTGTGCCATCACGCGCCACCCAAAGGCGCCATGTTGAGGGTTGATTTCACCGACTGCGGTAAGTTTTTTTATCGCACCCTGTATTTAATTTTAATGCTTAACCATCTTGTCAATATCTCAACTCTATTTAGTAATAAGAAATGTTATATAGATGGAAGTTCCATATTTTATTACATACTTTCTAGGAAAAACATAATATTCTATATTTAAATTTTGTCCATTCGGAAAAACCTCTCATTTTGATTAATTAAGTCTTAAAGAGGATGGGTAAATGTTGTCGTTTTCAAACATTTATTAACTTAACTATTAAAAAACATTTGACTGAAGGTCTGTTTTTTTTTTGTTTTCGCCATATTGGAAATGGTGATCTTGAAGTGTTATGTATATACTTAATAACAAAGGTTTTATTCAGGCGTTTCTAATTACAGTTACCGGATACAACAAAAAAATTGTTATGGATATGCTTGTGTGATTTGAGAGGGGGAAAATTGAAGGGGTAAAGCCGCATGAAGGAATTACTTTCAATTTTCACACGTAGCGTAGGCTTTAAGCCACGTACTTCCCCTCTCCCCTTTTTCTATAGGGTGTGAAAATAAATTATAATTTTGATATTTTGCTGCAAGTGTTCTACTCTCTGACAGATTTGAAATTTTTTCTAATAACTGTTAGTTTTCACTTCCGTTATTTTTTATTCTTTTAACCTTGAAAGATTCATTAGAAGTTTTTTATTTTCTGTCTGCATTTTATAATGCATAATTACGATATTTTATAAAAAAAATTAGTATATATACATGGTGGACGTGGATAGTTCTATAATAAATTATTCGAAAATCTAACTTTGTTTTATACTTTTATATTGTGCAATAAACTTTATCTACATTTATGAGAATGATTTTATGCACTTAAATTAGTACCTGCCATGTTGATAAAAGTTCCCGTGATATATTGTTTACCGATTATTTTAGCGATTGGTATAAATTTTTGAAAGTGAAATAAAACTTTTGTAAAAAAATTGATTGTAGTTTCACTTAGATACGATTACTAAGTTAGCTGTTCTTCATACTTTGGTACTTTTTAGATAAAAAGTTCGATGAACAATCAATCTTCTGTGGTCGCTGTACAGGGACGTACCTAACCAAATTTTTTTGAACCTTCTTCAGCGACTTGGTGTGTGTGTGTGTGTGTCTTGATCGATACATTAAACTTTGAATCCTCTTCATCCCTTTTGGGTTTGAATTTTAAAAAATCCTTTCTTAGTTTACCTTTTCATGCTTATAAATATACAGTTTGAGGAAGATATTTAATGTACAATTTTTGAATGCAAAAAATAATAATTCATTGTGGCACACCACTGTTTAATTTTCCTGCACATAATAATGTGATTATTTTATCTCATACTTTGCGATAATTGTTATCTGAATGAGGTAAATGGTTTGTTAATTTCCACACAAATTGGGTTTGCTCATGGATGTTTTTATGAACTTGAACTTGAAATAAGTTACCTAAAATTAATGTCCATTTTTACTCTATTATCGCTGAAATCATTATGATGTGTAACATCTTTTTTAAAATACAGCTTTTGCCAATTTTTATTATTATTAAGTGTGAATTGGTAAATAGTTGTCGTTTGATTTTGTTTATAACTTATCGACAAATGGTGGTCTATGTCATACAGTAGTTCGTAGTGTTAAATTGTCTGGTTATAAGTACCTACTGCCTTGTAATATAGCGTCACACTTCTGCACCAATGTTAAGCTCATTCGTATTATGCAGTAAGGACACGCCTTATAAGTTTCAGTTTATACCTGAACGATTCACCTGGTCGATAACGTCTTTTTATTAAATTTGTTATAACATAACACAACAGCAATATTCACCCACCACGTCCGCTTTCTCTTTCGTCGGCCTTAATAATAATCAACCTACGCGAGTGAACAATAAGTAATTATAGCGAAATTTGACTTTCGCGTGTGTGTGTGTATCTTCGTTAATCGGACAAACGAATTTAACTATTTTTGTGCGTTGTCTGGCCTAGTGCCAAACTCGAGCTCATTCCTACATTACCCAGAGCCTTAGTAGTTTAGGATTTACGATTAGCGTTCATTCATAGCCGGTTCTTTAGCGCATTCGAATGGTGTGTTGTGAATGAGTTGTGCATTAGGCGAGACGACCTCTTTTCGGCGTTCGAAACGTCGATAAAACTCGTGCATTTCTTGTGTTGTAGTCTGCGTTGTTACAACACACCTAGCACTTGCGCAGCACCCTTAATTTTCCTTCTGTTTGATGCTTTTTTGGTTTCTTATTTGTACATAATATTAACCATTAATTACGCTGTAAATATACGTAAATCTTTTCAGTTGTTGATCTGTTATTATGGTTAGAATTTTTTAACTAAAATAATTGTCATCGGGCTTTGTATAATACAACAAAAAGTATAGGTATTTTGAGTGGCGAATCACGTAATTTTTGTCATTTGGTGGTGTTTTTGCATGCTGGGGATGGTTTTTGGTCGACGAGGATGAGGAATGGTATGAGGTTCCTCAAGCACGACGACGATGAGTGAAGCTAGACGTGCTCGTCTTCTCAAAGCTCGTCTCGGCCAACCGTCTGTAAGCGTGGCCGATTGGGAAAAGCAAAGCCAACTGTTGTCCAAGTGGAACAACGGTATGTTTTGAGTGATTTCTACCAGTTATTTCGTATCTGCTTTTATTTTGTTATCTGGACACGCGCAAGATATATCATCATCATCATCATCATAAGATCGTCAGTCCTAAGACTAGTTGGACACGTATCTCCACTCTTTCCTATCCTGAGCTAATCTTCGCATTTCCCTATAACTAGAAAAACCCACATCCTTAACTATTTGCGAACAGTAATCTAACCTAGGTCCACCTCTACCCTTCCTAACTCCCGTTTCTGCCTCAAATATAATGTCTCTGACTAGACCGTCATGCATGACAAGGTGTCCTACCAACCTATTCCGTCTATTTCTTATTTCCTTTCATAGAGTCCTGTGTTCTCCTATTCTTTCTAATATCTTTTAATTTCTAACCTTCTCTATCCACGGTATCCTCATCATT